TAATCTTATTTTTAAATGGGGGACAACACATCTTTCTTTTTATTTCTTATTCATATAGCAGGTTTCTTCGATTTTTTCCTGGTTACTTTTATTGCTATTTGGAGAGAACTGGAAAATGGCGGTTTGACCTTGCCATGTAATTCGTTCTTGTGGCCGGCTTCACAATGGCTTGGGCGTATTTGGCTGGACAGTGTCACTTCACGATTGACTCACGTCAGTCGAAATTGCAATCAGACGTTTGATTCAACTCGACATCTGACAAAAGCTTGCTCCGGGGACGACGATTCCCATTCGAACTCTTTCTATCACACTTTATTCTTCTCGACTTCTCAAAGCCTTAGTAACCTGCTGGCAGCTTATATTCGAAGTCAACTGACAGCAAATCTTTTTAGTACTCCAGAAATTTCCTCATTTTTTTAAAAAAATATTGGTAAGAAGGCCTAAGAGCCACTCAGGTTAGAGGGTTATTGAATGAGGTTGTTTCATTGACGTAAGGATTGTAGCTTATGTGACTATGTTGAACATAAACTTGAAGAGGTCAAGTATAGTAGTTGCAAAAGAATTCTATCGGGAGCCTGTTCCAGAAATATGCGGGTCTTTGAGAAAAGCTGGTTAAATGAAAATTTCACATTACCAATGGAAATACGAAGGGGTGAGCATGGTTCCTTCATGAATAGTTATAAGCTCGTAACTTTGGCGCGTCTACAATGTTCTAACAGCTATCCGGAATGCTTAGACATGGATGGCCTCGTGTTTCCTCAGATTATCATTTCTTGCAACTAATTTGGCTGGTATTCGATACCGTTACTCGTACTCCGAAGACTATCAGAAACACTGTCGCTTTTATATTCTGCATCTGAATATTTTTCCCCAATTTATATGTTTTCTACTTTACCCTCTTTCTTGTTGGAATTATATTCTTCTTCTTCTTCTTCTTCTTCTTCTTCTTCTTCTTCTTAGTAGTAGTAGTAGTAGTATACGTGAGTGAGCAGTACACCAACAAGATGATGCTGGATTTCAATTATACGACGACCAATATACCCATCATTATACCCAGTCGGGTGAAGTTACACCAAACACATGTATCACAGTTAAATGTGAGCGACATGATGAGAGATTTTGATAAAATCACCGCATCACCTTGCTAGTGAGGCCCAATTAAAAAATCAAGCACCCTCTGACGATCTCCGATTGACGGTGACGCCAAGAATCTAGAAATGATTCCCAAGTGGCGTGTCCTACGCAGTCTATTTTCCTCAAATTTCCAAATCTATCATTTTTTATCGGGTTGCTAGGCGTTTGGGTCAGTCCTGAGAGCTTCAACAACAATGGAGCACCTGTTATTTTCATAGTTCATTACTTTTTTTTTAAGTGCTCTTGGTAGGTTTTTATATTTGTCTAGATTTTCGTTTCTTTAAAATTTTCTGCAATCTATTCGAACACTGCAAATAAAAAAAAAATATATATTCTTCTTGAATATAAAACACTAAATATGATCCTACTGACATTAATTGTGTAACCTGCAGTTTGAAAGTCGTAATTTTAAGTGTTTGAGCCTTGTACATTATATATATATATATATATATATATATATATATATATATATATATATATATATATATATATATATATGTAATTGTAAGATTATAATCAGCTCGATTTCTTATTTGAAATTTGAGCACGTTCTCTTTATTAAGATCATAATTAAGATTATAAAGATGTAGACGAAAATATGCTCTTTTTTTAAAATATGTTATCATTCAAACACGTGTTTCCTCGAAATATAACGTTTAAATTTGTATGATAAATGGTAGAATTATAAATAAATTCCATTAATTCTTTACGATACGGATACCAAAATAAAACGGTAACAGGTATGGATTGGAATTATACGAACAAGAGATGTGCATTAATTAAACTGGTTGACTGAAATTAATTTGACTGTGATATTCCTCTGTGGATGAGCGTTCTAAAAGTGAGTTGAGTTTTTAAGGTAATCATCCATTCAATCAGGGACAGGGACGGAGGTTTGATTTCCCGCCGTAAGGAACAATTTCTTTATTAAGACTTACAAGCACCTGTTTCCTCGAAATATAACGTTTAAAGGAATAATTTTTTTGTTTCTTTCTTTTTTTTTTTCCAAAGACGATTCTGTTTACTGTAACCAGTTGGGGCCATATTTTTCAGCTCTGGGACTGATCAAAAAATTTATATATATATATATATATATATATATATATATATATATATATATATATATATATATATATATATAATGTACAAAGCTCAAACACTTATATTTCACGGTTATAATTTATTACATTGGAATCATAATCACGATCCAATTCATCAGACCTACAAATTCAAAAAAGAAATCGGAAAATATAATCAACTAAATGGATATGAATGCTGATCAGCTGATCAGCATTCATATCCTTTTAAAATATTAATTTATCCTTTTAAAATATTAAAACTTGAAATTGAGAACTTTTTTACATAC